GTCCGGGAGAGGAGATATCGGCTGCCCTCCTGGGGGCCCCGGATCGCCCGCCGTATCGCCGCGACGCCCGCTCTGCCAGTCCACAGAATTATAATTTTAATGTGTCAGAAGAGGAAAGTAATTAAATACAAGGGAAGTGACCATATGAACTCATCTTAACACTACTTACATTGAACTTAAATCGTATCTAATTTAGTTTTGTCCCTGCCCAGTATTTGGAGTGTGCCTCCTTCTCAAGTGCAGCCTGGAAAAAAACTGTTATAACCTATGTTGTTCCCCAAGTGGATAATATTTCATAGTAATAATGTAGCCCCTCACTCTGCACAGTATTTATAGAAGATCTGAATATCCTTTCCATTGTTTAAAATCACTTTCTAGTCGAAGACACAGCAGACATAGCTTTTCTTTACCTTCCCCTTGAGCTGTGCTTGAAACAAACAGAAAAGAAGTGGTTCATGTGTCCATGAAAACTAAGGATGAACTGTGCAAAAGAACAAAAAAACAAAAACCCACACCCCTACCTCAGCTGCCAAATTTTAAAGGGATAGAACGCTGCTCCAAGCTACTACTGGTAATAAACAGCATCTGCAGCAAGCCACATGTGACGCCAAAATGTACATAGGTCACAGCATTTATGTGACAGTGTCATCATGCAAGTGTCATCATTTGTCCTCTCTTGCTCCTTCTTGCAGATACCCCTGCTGGTAACCGTAATCCTTCAAAACAAGATGACTAGTGCCAGTTCAGGAAATGTATAGAAAAGCATACATAGACCCTATGGTTAAGAAACTGGGGTGGGGGAAGCTCTTTTGGCCTTCACCCTTCTTCTCCCATTCTGTTTCTTCACCGCTTCCCTACATTAGTACATCCACTCCCAGAAGATCGTTTCAGTTGCATGCATAGATGGTGCATAGAAAAACCACATACTGTATGTCTTTAAAATGGCAAGAAAATGTACCTGGTTTCCCACTAATCACAGATCTGGATTCAATCTTTCATCAAGCCTTTAATTGATTAAGTGCATCAAATAATTTACTGAACGCTAAATGACTTTAGTGGAAATCAAGGGATGAAATCCTAAGGCTCTTAAATAAATTAAAAACAAACCTCATCAATCCAAATTGTATCTAACATTTCTTAGTAACTGAGAGCCATATTTATTTGGTTGGTAGGCCCTTTTGAATTCTGCTTGAAATCTGAAATGGCCACAGTGGCTGGATTCTAAATGTGAGGATGAAAACCTGCACCAACCATGCTGAAATAGATTGCCATAGTTATAGAAAAGAGCTACATTCATAGATACCATGGGCACGAATGCAGTTTGATTACACATGAGAAAAGAAAAGAAAAAAGAAAAGAAATATGGACACTGAACTTTCCGGCCACCGATTCTTTCTTCTATTCTTCTAGTACTAAAACTGAGGTACTGCTAATCCTGTTCTGGTTTTGCACTATAATATCTCCATGTAATGGAACAAGATTAGTTTTGGTGCTGTAGGACAGACTACTAGCCGTTCCTTTAGTGAAAAATAAAATGTTACTGTTGGAAATCATGTTGCATTAGCAGCAATAACTGTTCCTAAAGCCAAATATTCAAAATACTTTATAGGAGGGTGGGGGAGAAGTTGGTTGTGCTTTATACCATGACGTTTGCTTTGTTTTATTTGCCCAGATAGATGGCAACACCCAGCTTACTTTGGCTGATACTGTAAAGATAAGCAGGGTAGGCCTAAATTGGCACTTGGATGAAAATCCCAGACTGTTAAACTAGATTGGGAAATAAATATTTCACTCTTTTTCTACATTGTTGCCAAGAGCAAGACATGGATATGCCCAAGGAGTCACCCGGAGGTGAGCTCAACTTTTTTCTTATCTTTTATTTTTACTTACTTTTATTTTACACCACTTCAGTAACTTCCCCAAAAAGGCAATATAAAAATATTAGTTACAAATGCATAAATGAAATGCACCAAGCATGCAATATCCACCCAGTGCATTTGATCTCCCACCAGAATTAGTGTCCTTGCAGTAAATCCCAGCAGTATGTGCCCGGTGAGAGTTTTGCAAACTGGTCGTGAAATTTTCTTTGTTGTCAATCATTTCGTTTTGCTGCGTTAGCTAACAAATATCAAATACTGTATTGTTTTTGACAGGACTACCCAAGGAGCTAATGAGAAGATGTAATGTCACCTTGTAGATGCCACAACGTGTTGGATGGAAAAAAATAATTAAACAATGGATATTTCAATCTGAAAAAGAATTCTCACACACAGATTCGCAGTTGCAAACAGCCATGTCCAAAAAAGGACGCAGCAAGGCTGAAAAGCCTGAAGTACTGATTATGTCCTTACAAGCTGCCAACGAAGATCTCAGGACCAAGCTGACGGATATTCAAATTGAACTTCATCAGGAGAAGTCTAAAGTAAGTAAAGCACTGATAACAAATGGCAGATGATTTAAATGGTGGTTACCCTGTATACGGGAAATTATGAATTAAAGTTTCCTCCCTTCATTCTGGAAGAGTGGAAGAATACTGGAAAAATACATTTTGTTTATTGCTGACTTTTGCCAGAGTAAACATAAAGGGGAATTCAACCAATGAATTACAGCTGGATCAATACTTGTCTCCCAAACATACTTCTTTTTCATCTATTGTCTTTTTACTGTAGCTCAGTACAGAAAGATTTCTGTCTAAAACTGGAATATTTTTTAAGAATTAAATATGAGTGTAATGTTTTTGTCAGCTGTGGGAAAAAAGGTTCATACATTGTTAGAACAAAAATGTGGAAAAAACACATTTCCTATAAGGAGCAAGTAGGATGATTATACTAAGCACATATATACTGTAAGCAGAACTTCCTCTTAGTTCCTAGGAAAAGAGAAATATAGGGTTCTTGACGTTCTCTGAGCTTGATGTTTTCCTGCAGACATTTCATTACCAGGCTGTGTAACATCATCAGTGAATGGGTGAGTGGAGTTTGCTGGTTGTTTATACTTAGCAGTTTGCCTGGCAATCTTGGTTGGGGAGTGGTTTCTTCCTTGATGGTTCCTTAATCAGGAATGCTTTGCATCAATACTTTTAAATATTTCCTTTGGCAGAAAAACAGCTTCCAAATGTTTCTTGTAGCTAGTTAAGATTTTTTTTCTATTTGCACTTTAGGAATTTTTTCCCATTCTTCCATGCAGAACTCTTCTAGCTCAGAAATATGCTTAGTTCTCCTTGCATGTGCTATGCATTGGAATCTCCCCACAGATTTTCATTAATATCCAAGTGTGGAGACCATGCCTTATCTTTCTTTCCTGTAAATACTTCATGGTTGATTTAGAGGTACATTTCAGATTGTTGTCTTACCGTTTTAGCTTCAGTTTCTTCACTGCTTGGGGAACGTTAGCTTCTAGAATATATTGATATTTAGTTGACCCATTCTTCCTTCCACCTGCACAATATTTCCTCTGCCACTGAGTGCCACACAACTTCAAAGCATACTGGAGCTAGCTCTATGCTTAATGACTGGCAAGGTATTGTTTTCTTCAAATGCTTTGCCCTTACTTTCCAAATGTATTTTTGTGGTAGTGGCTGAACAATTAAATTTTTGTTTCATCAGTCCAAAGTACTGGTTTATTAAAACTTTATTTTGCATACTTTAGAAAATTACTTTTGTGATGAGTCTGAAGGAAAGGTTTCCTTTTGACAATTCTCCCACTGCTGTATGAGCATTACTGTATGGTGGACAAGTAGTTCAATGTCAGTTAAACTTTACGGCAGGGCATTTGCATCTCTGGGTTTTGTTTGGCAGAATATTCTGCACAATATTCCTCCACTCCATACTCAAACTGTTGTTTGAGGATAGGCTGGCCATCTGTGTTTTCTCCAATGAAATAAAATGTGAGGAAGCTGAAGCCTAGGTGTCCATGCAAGATATTTGAGAAGTTGACTTTGCTTTCCTGCATTTAACCCAGTTGGGGCAAGCAGAGCTGACCTTGTAAGACAGTTCTCAACTGGGAAAGTTTAAGGAGTCTAAAGTGGCTGGAGATTTCCTTGTGAGGCTTTCCTCCTGGAGCATTTACGAGGTCACCTCTGTTTTGGCATAGGTGACCATATACCTTTGTGCCAAGCAAGAGAAATAGCTTTCTCCTTCCAGGAGAATACCAGGAGTCGTGCTCTCTATTCCCTGCATAAAGAAAAAGATTCCATATAGGCCCCACACGAGTCTGTATGGACTGTTATTGTCAAGCTAAAAGAGGACAGGAAACTTCACTCCCTGACTCTTTCAATAAGGATAAAATAATGATATAAGAAGTAAGTTTTTGTGGAATGGTGGGGCTTTCCTCTTCGAGGCTCTGTTGTTCACATTATCCCACCCACCAGAGCTTTTCAGAGAGGCAGTCCAATCCTTTGCCTAGATTGAACCCTTTTCTTAAAGGCTTCATTAAATTGTGATAATGTGTTGTTGTTATTGATGCTGTTTAATGAGAGAGCATTTACAGATACTATCTCCTATCCTTTCCATTTGAAGAAATGCAGTCTCTGAATCACCTCTGCATTCCCTTCTACCTCATTTTGCTTTGTGTATAGACCATGCTATTTTAGTAAGAATCTTTTTTGGCTGTCATCTTCAGTCCTTCAAACAACAAAACTGTTTTGGAGACTATTCTTGTTCTTTTGAATTTGATTTTTTTCCCCCTCCTTTTTCCAGAGAGATGTAATTGACTTCTGTGACCAGACTCTTTCATTCTTTTGCCAGTAAGCATTATTTTTCTGGGAAAACAAATCTAAGTTGCCATTAGGCTCCATAACTGAGCAGCAGCTTTTTAGCTTGTACAAAGTCTTTCGTCATGAAAACCTTTATGGGTTGGTCATTTATCAAGGTTACCATTTACCTCAGAGGACAATCCTGTGGATATCAGTTTCTGTCACTGTAGGACAATTTGGATGAAAGAAAGACCTCTTGTGCTCTGTTATTACCTGCCAGGCTAGCATACTTCAGAGCACTGCTTGTTTTACCCTCCCATAAGACTGACAGGGTTCAATTTGCAGCCCATCTTAAGAACAGAAAATCATTTCAAATGAATGGAAATTAGTGCTATTTTTGACCACAGTCCTGCACACTATCCATACATGGAAGTCCTGCAATTTTGAATGGCTGCTCATTTTTGGTCACTGATATGAATGTTTTAGCACTCAGACAGAAATTAGCTGTCTGGTTTATTTAAAAGCAATGGGATAATTGCCCAGATTCTAGAAAGCAGAGGTGGGAGCAGGTTAATTTGATAAATGCTACATTTTCATCTGCCCAGGTAATTTTTTATACTAAGGGTTAAAAATAAAATTAATTGATTCTCATGTTCTCTCTCTCTGTTTTTCTACCACTAAAGATATTTGGACTGCATAGTTATCAAGAAAGAGATAGAAATATTTTCAGTGTCAGGGTAACAAAATCTGCACATAACAGGACATTGTTCTGGGTTAGTGAAAGTTTAAGTAGAGGAGGAAAAATTGTGTTATTCATCACTGTTACTTTTTAATTTTTGTAATAATGAGAAAGCTGCCTATGGATAGCAATCTCATGTGTTCTGAAACAAAAGACTGAATGAGACCTTTTTTTCTTAAATTGTACTTCTGGGCTGCATCCAACATTGCCCAAACAGATCTTCATTCATGCATTTTTCATTCTTTTCTTCTTAACTGCAGCTTCCTGAACAAAATTTGTTTGAGAGGTCCCCCCAACCCTTAACAAATGTGACTGTGTCTCAAGAGCCAAAGTTACATGCCAAGAGGTTAGAATGACTAATGTTTTAAAAGCCACACACATAGATATTCTGTCCTTTCCTTTTCTTTCACATTTATTTATTTATTTGGCCACCCAACTCTACAACAACTATGGGTGGCGTACAGCAAAAACAATCATACAGTACTTTTTTAAAAAATCCAAATGACAGAAGAAAAATGACTGTTAAAAAACAATCAAACATGTAGGACCTTCCAGTCTCACCCAAGATCCAAAGAAAGAACTAGGTTTCAGGGCTCTTTTGAATACAGCCAGGGTGGAGGCCAGACATATCTTGAGGGTGGGGGATGATGTTCCAGAAACAGGTACTGCAACAGAGAAGACACACTGGTCCCATCAGGTGACACTGTAACGGGTGGGACCTGGAACATGCCAACTAGCCTGACCATATAGGCCAGGCAGAAGCCACAGAAGATGAAAGGTCCTTTAGATAACCAGGCCTCATGCTATTAAGGGTTTTATAGGTAAGAACTATTATAGATGAATGCACTCCTACTTAGCTTAAGCCCTAATACCATAAAAAAAGATGCACTCTCATTAACTAGGAAGGATGCATAAATATATGGAATATATGAATGAATTGAAATATATGGAAGAATAATATATAACTTAGTGGTAGAAGGATAGCCTCTGGCTCTGTAGTAAAATAGCCTTGGCTCAGAACCATCCCTTATAAATGTCAGAAAAGTGGACAAAGGAAAACTAAGCAATCATTTTTAATCCATTTCTTTCTTTTTTAAAAAAGAAAATAACTGTCTTTACAAGTAGCTCAGGATAATCTATCAGGAATTCTCCCCATTTTATGTCCATAAGTACTTTCTGAAGAAGGTTAGACTGAGAGCAGAGCAGCATTCATTATGCTATTGTGTGTGCATGCGCCTTTGAGTCAGTTTTTGACTCATGGCAACTGCCTGGACGAGTCCCTGTAGCTTTCTTGGCAAGGTTTTTCAGACGTGGTTTGCCCTTGCCTGCTTCCTAGGGCTGAAAGAGAGGGACTGGCTCAAGGTGACCCAGCTGGCTTTGTGCCTACGGCAGGACTGGAACTCACAGTCTCCCGCTTTCTAGCCTGGTGCCTTTAACCACTGCACCAAACTGGCTCATTATGCTATTAGCCCACCTCAAACATGGAATTTTACAGAGGCAATGGTATATTCTGGTATGTACTTCTCAACACTTCTTCAACTTTCTTTGTTTCCAAAAGTAATTTCAAAGGAAGAAAACCCAAAATAACTGGAGAATGCTTTTCATTCACTTTTCATTCCAGTCTGCAGGTATCCATAATAACAGGCCCCGGCCCCAAAGAACTTCATAACTGAAGAAAAGCAAATTCAAACATTCTTGTTTAAATGCAGTAGACTTCCAAAGGTATAAAGAGGGCTACCTGATATCTTGCTCAACCTGATTTTTTTCAGCCTGGTAGCCACAATGCAACTTCCTTCCCTGCCTGAGAGCCATGGGGGAGTTGGCAGTGACGTTCATCAGGGTAGGAAGAGCTAAAATGTTTTAACATATATTTTAGAAGGTTTTAAAAGGTCACATATTTTGTCTGCACAAGTTTAAATCACTCATTTTGTTTCTTAGACTTTCCAAAAACAGATGTAAATGCCTTGTTAGGAATTTTGGCCTAGCAGGTTTGTGGAGGACATCAGTATATTGTTTGTGTGTAAATAGGCTATATATCACTCATCCAAAATATGAGGACAGTTGAAAAAAAAAGAACTTCATTTTAGTGGCACATTTTATTTGGATGTCAGGGTTTTCCATTTTTCTGGTACAGGGTAATCTCTTGAAATAATGACACCCTCACTTCCAAAGTTTGTTTCTTGTTTCTGTTTCAATCTTATATATTTTTTAAATATTTAACTCTTCTACTTCATATTATATTTGCTCTTAATTCTTAGGTCCTTGTTTTACAAAAAGCCAGAGACCTAATATATATACTAATTTCTTTTACAAGAAAACAATAAACTATAACTTTCCCCAAACTTACATTAAAATTGTGTTCTTTATGATACTTCCCCTCTGCTAGGGATCATCAGAGCTAAACCTTGGAAACTGTTTTCATTACTGAGTTATGAAATATGTGATAAAAAGTGTCTCTGAACATGTGGTGGCTATACTTCACTTTTGAATGATTACAACTTGAGCACAATTACCCAAATTAACATACTATCATGAATCAATTTGATTTAAATGAGTTGGACAAGGAGGGAGCTGCTCATAAAGCATTACTGTTTCAAAGAACAGGTGATGATAAACAGGAATTTTCCAACTCTGGCTGGAATATGGTTGAACTGGAGAAGGAGGCTGAAGAAGTGTGATGAGATTATCTAAGAAAATATAAGCAAGGTGTTAGTCGACCTGTAACTGATTTAAAACTAGAAGAATTTTCCAAGACCGATTGTTGGATAGCTGCCAGTGTATTTGGAAGTGTTTATTGTTTATTGTTTATTAGTTTACTGTTATGATGTTATATTGTGTATGGCTTTAATTGTATTGCAGTATTTTAATGACTTATATAAACTTTCATGGGTCACAAGATTTGGCAGGATATAAAAATAAATAAAATGGAATGCCCCCGAATCCACAGCAGTGAGCATATAAATTGTACTGACAATCAGAAGCTGAGCTTTAGGAGACATTTTAAAGAATAAAACAAGAAGCGGACTTCCTGAAATTACTCAAAGTAGAATGAACTGGAATGGAAGACAGGCAGGAGAATAAAAATATGGTTATCAATATATCTCAAGAACTCTACTGCATTGCTGAAATTAAGTAGTCATAAATTCTTGTTCCTGATTATCCTGTTTATTTCAATAGAGAGAATCACATTCTTTTCTACATGTATGTCTTAGTTCCTGTTCTCCTCTTGTTCTCTTCATGTGAACTACTGAGTTTTGCTTGCATAAAGTGCATAAAAATAATGTTTAAAAATGCAACAGTTGTTCCCATCTTCCTTCTGTCTTCCTTCTTGATGTATGTGCTGCTCCTAGAAAGCTTCACCACCACAGGTGTATAACAGCAAGGAACCTTTCACATGCCTGATGATCCTGAACTACAGCTTGACACATTCCTCATGATTGGCCATGCTGAATGTGGCTGAGGGAATTGTAATTCAGCAACATCTAGAAGGTCATAGATTCCTGACTCCCATATTACAATATAAGATAGTTTATTTGATGTGATCAGTGGCAAATTTTCTGCCAGTTTTTTTTCTCATTTCTTCTTAACTTTCATTTCCCCCTAATTATTACTTTATTTGTTGAACAATCAAAAGAAACAAAGGAAAGTCTCATGTAATTAAGGCCTTTTCCCAGCCATCCATGCATTCAGAAATCTATCAACATTAAATCAAAATGGTGTCCTCATTCCAGAATTTTTCCTTCACTGAACTGCGTTTGTTATTGCTGCATTGCATTTGTGGTCTGCCCTCATGAGGTTGCTGAAAGCTGCTTATCTTGCGAAAAGGCATTCTGTTATTTTCAAATGTACCATGAAATATTTATAGGGACAAGCATTATGATTATTTAGAGTTCCGTATGGAGGAAGCAAGGTCTACTGTATGCCGCTCTTGAGCTGATATGGAAGGAGTGGAAATGGTAGCCATAATTTCAGGTTGGGATTTATGCGCAGGGCAGGAGGCTTGTCATCAGATTTCAGCTAAATGAAAGGAAAGAACTGTTATCTAAAGGCTAGACTAGATATGATATTTATCACATGGTTAGCTGAGGCATAGCATTAAAAAAAATGACAGCATGAGGATGAGAAAGCCACATTGGAACTGTGACAAGGAGGTAACTGTCTTTTAACCCACATTCTCACTTGTGAACCATAATTTCTCTTCACCCCACTTTCACCTTCTCCCCACCACAGAAAAAACTTGTATAGAGAATAGCTCATACTTTTCTTTCATTTCAACACCATGTAGTTGTTATTTTAAATTTTTCCTCTCTTTTAAACATTCCTGATGTTAGCTTTTTATAGATGGCCCAGGTATTCTGAGTAACTATTGCACAGTGAATTATATGTTCACGAATAAATAAAACATATCTTCTAACAGAGAATTTTATAAATTATCTTTAACTCAGGATTAGACAATCTGGAGCTCATGGTAATGAATGTTCCCAGGGACACATTCCTCAGTATCTACTAAACGTCTTGCCATAATTTTTAAAAATGTTCTTCTATGAATAAAAATAAATGGTAAGTTGATGGGCTGCAATGAAAAGTGTCTTCAGCATACTTTGGATTTACAATAATGTGTTTGGACTCATATAGGGCCCATATGAGAAGTCAAAGGAAGCCAAGATAAGACAGAATGGCCAGATGTATCCTGGTTGCCAGACAGGGACAGGGACAGATGTCAGCAGTTTTCCAGCTTGAGGGGGAGAGGTTTGGTCCACAGAAATTTCTCAGAGTCCCAAATGTTTCTAACTGTCCCAAAAGATTACCTGTTTAGGTCTTAACTTTGTGATGGAAAAATAATAAAGCTGGACACTCTCCCCCCCTCCCCCTTGCCTCTCTTTCTGCCCTCCTCCCCCTCGCCTCTCCTGCAATCTCTTTTCTCCACTTCCTTCTGCCATTCTTTGCTCATGCAAAGCAGGATCAGCCCCAAGCCGTTGCATGATCCAAGAGTGACCATGTTCCGCTGCCAGAAAACAGCCCTCTTAACTCTATCATGCTACAACAATGGGAGAGCCATCACCTGTCTGCTTAAGAGCTTGCCGAAGGAGCAACCCTGATAAGGAACTCCTTTGTTAACAACTGAGAAACTGCAGGAATTCCACCCTCATTAAGAGTACGTGCTTGCCTTTCCCAATGGTCCATCTTCTTTTGCAATAGACTCCTTGATGCCGCTAAAGTGTGGTTCTTATCTTACAATAGAAAAACCATTTATCCCCCATTTAACACCTACCCAAACCTATCCTCGAATCAGATCCCTCAGATTTCCCGCCTCAGCCTCAAAAGTGTATAAAATCTATGCCTTTTTTTATTGTTCGGGGTCTCTCTTTCTCTGAATAAAGCTCGGTTCTTTTCTCCTCAGTGTTATGCTTCTGTGGCAAATTCCACAACAACTTCAACATACGAATCTCATTTTGTGGAAGACTGAAACAACATTCACCAGATTTTAAGATGATTCAGCAATAGCCAAACAGAAACAAACACACACACACACACACACAAACAAAAACCACACATGTACAAAACCTCTGAAATCTCAAGAGAGCCAAAATAATGAAAATTCTTAATACAGTATATCTAACGCTAGTATAACTAGAAGTAGCTCGCATAAAGTAGGGTGCAATCTTTTGTTCTCCATTTGGTTTTTGTGGATCTTTATGTTTGGACTCAAGTCTGATAGAGAACTCCAATTCTCTAGCTTTGGAAAATATTTATGAACTAGAGACACCTGGAATAAAGATCTGATCCTCCTTTTGAACTCAATGTCGTACTTTCTTTTTTTCAAAACAAGCTTATTTTAAATGAATACTTATGATAGAACATCTTATTCCAACAATTGGTTATTTTTTTTAAAAAAAGTGATGTGATCACTTTTGTGCATGTGTGCCTTTAAGTCAGTCTTGACTCTTGGAGATTACATAGATCTCCAAAAGTGTTGCCAAGAAAACCTGCAGTTTTCCTGGCAACTTTTTTGGAAGTGGTTTGCCCTTGCCTTCTTCTTCCTAGGGCTGGGAAAGAGTGACTGGGCCAAAGTCACCCAGCTGGCCTTGTGCCTAAGGTGAGACTAGAACTCACGGTCTCCTGGTTTGTAGCCCAGTGCATTTAACCACTACATCAAACTGGAATAGTTTCTCAGATAATTCTGTGAGGGAAAAAAATCATTGCTTTAATAATTCCTTGTTTCTTCAATTCTGCTACATCAATCTGTCATTTTGAGCATCTAAAGAGAAACATTGCATGCTCTGAATACACCGCTTTTATATATAGGTGTTTTCAGTGAATGGATACCAGCGGAAAGGTTATTTCTGAGGCTTACACAGTCTGGCATCCTAAAATGCATTGAATTTGAATACATAAGACCAGCAACAAATTTTATTTTAGGTTTATAGATCAAGTATATAGCTCTGTATGGAGTTCCCCAAAGGCAGATATGAGAGGATAAATGTGCACTTTTTTCATAAGGTATGAATTAATAGATTTGCGTTATAGTGTGCACTCTTCAACTAAGGCTTGATTGAAAACGTAGGTCTTAGTTACACTTCTAAACTAGTTTTTAGCCTCTTTGACAACTAACAGTAATTTGGAATTGTGCACCAATTGCAACTTGTGTGAACATTTATAAAACTGGAGATCCTGTGTAATCTTAGGCTTTGTATGATGGTGGTGATGCTGCTGCTGCTGATACCTATTTTCCCTTCTTTTTATTTTCTTACTGTGTAGGTGAACAAACTTGAAAGGGAAAAAATCCAAGAAACAAAACGGATCCGGGAATTAGAACAGCGCAAACAGACAGTGCAAATCACTGAACTAAAAGCTAAACTCCATGAGGAGAAGATGAAGGAGCTACAGGCTGTCCGGGAAAACCTTATCAAACAGCATGAGCAAGAAATGGCACGGACAATGAAAATTAGAGACAGTGAAATTCAGAGACTCAAGTCAGCACTGTATGCATTGCGGGAAGGGAGTAGTGATAAAGTACGGACAGCCCTGACCATTGAGGCTCGTGAAGAGGCCAGGAAACAATTTGACTCTGAGCGCCTTAAACTTCTGCAAGAAATCACTGAACTGAAGTCTGCCAAGAAGCAGGTGGATGAAGCCCTGAATAACATGATCCAGGCTGATAAGATTAAAGCAGGGGATCTCCGAAGCGAGCATCAATCCCACCAGGAGGCAATCTCTAAGATCAAGTGGGAGAGTGAGAGGGATATTCGCAGGCTGGTTAGTAACATGTCTAGATATGAAGCCACATTTATGGCTCAATGTGTATCATCTTTCCTGTGGTCCTCATTACATTATGTGCAAAGGTTTTGACTGTCAAGTTGGAGGCTACTCCCCTCCAAACCCATCAGGCATTATAAGTATATTATCATGCAAACTCCTTTTGTGTGTATTAGAATTAGCCTATAACATCAGCTTGAATAAAATATATCAGTAGTTTACCTTTCTCATTGTTACCAGCACAGGTCTTTTTAACAGTCAATACTTTGGGCACATAATTGCACTGAAAAATAAGAGTGTGAGCCAAGAAGAAGAGTTGCTAAAATAAAGAAATATGGCCACTTCTCTGACCATATCAGCTAGGGGGAAAAAAGCATACCCACTAAAAATGGATATGGCTATTCCCATGCATCTTGTTTCCCCCGTTTATACTAGCATTGGTTTGTGCAGGTAGGCATACATGTTTAGTGACAATAGAAATTTCTCAATGAGTATTAGCCAAAACAATATGAGTGTTTAAACTAATGAATAGATTGACAATTGTGCACCTTCTGGTCTTTAAAACACTTTTTCTCCACATGCCATTAAAGTTTTAGTCCCATGCACGCTTTAGGAAAAGAGTCATGGAATCCAGGAGAGTTTATACTGAGTAAATACACCCAGAATTGTTTTGTTTGTCTCATACGTGAGATTTGGTGTCTCAGTTTTGAATGATGTGCTGATGAGGAAATCTTTGGGGTTAAAAGCAACAATTCAGACAATAACTTAAACATTCTGGATGGAGATCTACACCTGATTCAGAAAACTAAACAAGCCTTATCTTCTTGTAAGAAATCCTCTATGATTCTTTGGTTTTGGACAATAGTTATTTAGATGAAATTATATTTAAAAGATGTCTAAGATCTGCATACAGTTTCCTGTCTGTCTGGAGCCAGTAATCATGTATTTTACTATTTCTTTTTTTGTTGTTTTGTTTTGTTTTTTCTTCTTGCTCTCATAACATATTGTCTCTAATTTTTCTTATAACGATCTTTGCCTGTTTTCACTTCATTATAATGTGGAAATACCAGCTAGAGTACAATGATGAACAATTGCTCATTAAAGACCTAAAGAATTTATCTGCAGATTAATTTACTCACACTTGTAGCATCCCAATCAGCTAATAGAAAGAGAAAGGCTGGACTAGTAATTCAATAAACTGAAACACAGGTAGCTGCTAGGCAAGATATTTTCAGTTGCAAGTGTTCTAGTGCTTAGCTGAAATGGAGAGATGTATGTTTCATTAATGTGGTCATCCTCTTTGAATTTATGTATTTATTAAATTAATGTATATAGCCACCCATCATAACAAATTACTTTGGGCAGTGAACAATGGTAAAGAATAAAAACAGATGCATATATAGTACAAACAATTAAAATACACAGCAGCCAAGAAAACTACAACATTCAGCTGTTAAGACAAACAGCCAGAAGACGAGTCCCTTCGCTCCGTCAGGCCTGAGCACAGAACCAGGTCTTTAGAGCCTTACAAAGGCTAGCAGGGTCAGGACCAACCTAATCTCTGGAGAGAAAAAGTTCCAAAGAGCAGGTGCTATGGCAGAAAAGGTTCATCTTCTAGGCCCCACACCAGACAACATTTCTTACCCGACAGGACCCAGAGCATGCCCATCCTGCTGGACCAGATAGGATGGGTAGAGACAACTAGGGATAGATGATCCCTTACATAACCTGGTCCCAAGCCATGAAGGACTTTAAAGGTGACTACCAGCACCTTGAATTGCATCTGGAAGTACACTGGCAGCCAATGCAGCTCATGAAGTAGTGGTATCACATGCGCTAAGTAACTGGCGCCATACATGTGCCACTGCATTCTGTACCAGTTGAAGCTTCCAAATGCTCTTCAAGGGCAGCCTCGCGTAGACCATATTGCAGTAGTCTAGATGGGAGGTAATCCATTTTTAATTATTGCTTGCAGTGATCATAAAAGAGTGCAAACTTGTGTGCAGAAGGATAGCTTTGGGGGTGGAAGAAAGGAAATGTGCCCCATTTGTTAAGACAAACAGGCCAGTGCTCACTTAAGCTGACCAAGAGAGCTTAATTGAATAGCTGGGGCAGGATGTGGATGCTCCTGTGCAACTAAATAGGAAGTTCTTTGAATGAAGTGTAGAATAGAGAGATATTTTCAACAAGATATGTCTTTAATTATATATGCAGTTAATTTTCATTGTACCACTTGCGGTGGGATCTCTGTATATATAATCCTTTCCACATTCTGCTTAAAGTTGGTCTATAGCAAAAGTACAATGCTAATCGGTAATTGTATTGCAATTAAGATAGTAAAACTGGGGATGTATGCCTGATGCCCAACAAGCTGGATAATGGAATTTAGGTTTAGGCATATGCTGGATATTTTAGGGCACAGATAGTTTGTCTACCACACTAACCATGCTCAGCTAAACTCCTGTTTGGATTCTATACATATTTTGGATTAAGAGCTACCCTTAAAGATGTATCAAAAACTTCAGCTAATGTAAAGCAGAGCAGCCAGGTAATATATTGTCCCATTTCTATAGGAGCTAAACTAGTACTTAACTCCTATCCATGATGTAGTTGATGATCTTTAAAGTTCAAATAAATAAACAGACAAACTTGGGATTGAAGTATCTGAAGAATAGCTCTATCAACCAGAAGTACTGTGGCAATATTATATGTCAACCAGGAAAAGAGTGATAACTCTGTTGTGATAATTTAATTGTGGAAGACAATTAGAAATTTGTTAGCATGAACCCTGTATGTGCCAGCTAAAATCCTATATCTTTGTCAGGGATTTTAATTTAGTTGATTTGAATTTATGTGTTGGTAGGTTTGAACACTGTATTTTACTATTATGTGCATGGCAGTATTTTTATCATTTGTAATTTTTTATTTATATTTTTACATTCCACCTTGCTGTAGTTGAAGGATGATATATATTCACCATGTGATCTCTGATTAGCTGGTATCACACAATGAATATATTGTTTCCCGTAAAAACAAACAAAAGGCACTCAAAAGTCAGCAAGTGGGAATAATTGCTGCCTACAAGCATTGAAAAAACATGGAGTACTAGAAAATGGGGAGCTAGATCTATATCAATTATCTGCTTGGTTATTTGTTGCTAATTTAAAGAAGAATTTGGTCACAACCAAAGCCCTTCCTGCCCAAAATAATCCATACAGCACCAGGCCCAGTGGGCCCAACGACCCTAACGAACTACAGTCCTCGTAGGGTTAGCAGACCCCAACGAACCCGGGCAGTGGGGCGATCTCCAGCAGGCCCCAATGCAAGGTGGCTGCCCAACTGCGAAGCAAGATCCCTCGGTTTGGAGGAACAGTGGGGGCAGCGGGGGGTGCCGGAAGGCATCCCAATTGACTTTTGCTGCATGAGGAGCGAATTGGCGGTTTGGAGGAACAGTGGGGGCAGCGGGGGGTGCCGGAAGGCATCCCAATTGACTTTTGCTGCATGAGGAGCGAATTGGCGGTTTGGAGGAACAGTGGGGGCAGCGGGGGGTGCCGGAAGGCATCCCAATTGACTTTTGCTG